TCACTAGCATATAGCTTTGAATAAAAATCTAAAAAAGACTTTTTAATCAGTTTTTGTTGATACACTTCTTTACCTTTATAAATTATTTTATCTATAGTCCTCGATTTCTGTTTCTTACGCAATTGATAAGCCAACCATCTACCAGGTTTATTTGCATTACAAAATGTATTGAGTTTCATATACCTCAAATTAGTTGCCATCTGATCTGCTATTAACATATTAAATTGCTCCTTAAGCAGAGTTATAGAAACCTTTATATTATTATCCATTGGGTTAGATATTAAAATCTTTTCCTTACATTTAATCTCATCTTCCAACTCTTTACATTTCTGAATCTGTTTACATCTATGAGCTTTATTCATAGAAATCAAAATCCCTCTCATATATGCTTTACTAGAATCCCATACCATTGGCATCGAGGTACCCTTATTCATGTTCCAAGCAAAAAATTCCTTTAAATAACCTCTACATCTCTGTATATTCTCTTCATATCTAAATAAATTCTCATTCAACCTCCAAGACCTTCTAGTCCCGTCTTCCAACGAAATTTCCAACCACACAGGACTATGATTTGAAATTATTCTAGGAAATATCTTGGTATTCTTCACCCTAGAAGAAAAATCATTAGTAACTAAAAAGAAGTCAATTCTAGAATAAGATTGGTGCCTATCTGAAAAAAAAGTAAAATCTTTTTCCTCAATGTTCCATTCTCTCCAAATGTCTCTAAGTTCCAAATCATCCTTTAAATCAAAAAAAGCTTTAGGAAGTCTTGCATGATTAGAGATTTTAGAAGAACCCTTCTTATCTTTACTTGGATCTAGAACACCATTCCAATCTCCCATCATAATAACTGACTTGTAGTCCAAAGAAATTAATTTCTGGGGAATCATCTTGTAAAAATTTTTTGTTGTTGATTGGAAGCATATAATCCAACAAGAAGAGTTCTCTTATCATTTATTAATAAATCAATAATGACATATCTTCCTTGTGGATCAAAATCAATTAATTTCGGTAAAAGCTCCTTTCTCACATAAATAACTACACCTCCTTTTTTCTGCAAAGCAGGAGCTATGAAATGTACCCCCAGCCGGGGGTTAAACAAATATTTTTGATCTTTAGAAGTAATATGAGTCTCTTGTAAACAAATAATATCATTTCTGTGTTGTTTCAAATAATGAAAGACTTTCTTTCTTTTCTGTGGTGAATTGAGACCATTAACATTCCAGGTTAGAAGCTTTGCCATTCTTGGCAGGTTGAAGCCTTTGGAACAAAACCTCTAGATTTGCAGTCGATGATCTCTTTGGCCTTGCTCCTCCCACTGGCTCCGAAGTAGACTGTGATGAAACTCCATCATCTACCTTTTGTTGTTGTTGCTGTTGTTGTTGTTGTTCTCTTTCTCTGCGTTTATGAGCAGCACGTGTAATTCTCTGTTCTCTTGGGTCTTCCGTTATTTGCAAACTCTATTGCATAGATTCCACCAACAATTCTTCTCCCAAAAATGGTATTGAATCTACATTCAGCTGTGCTTCTGCCTTGCTCTCTTCCTTTTTTGATCTTGGAGATGGTGGTAGACCTCCTTTTAAAACAGTAACATAAAAATCTCTTGCTTTTGGAATTGTATTAAGACAATATTGTGTGCCAACATAGGTCACCACTATCCCCACAGGTATATCCCATCTAAATTGAATTTGTCATTTCTTAAGTTCTTCAGCCAAAAAAGCAAAGTTTTTTCCTTTTCTGAGAATTTTGGAAGGTATTTCCTTTAAAACTATCACATCCTGAGCTGCAGTCTGAAATCTTTGCTTGTAGAAAGCCTGTATAATTTCATTACGAAGTGATTTTCTAGCAAAGTAAACCACCACATCTCTTGGTAATTTTCTCTGTTTTGCAACCCACGAATTAACTCTGAAAATCTTTTCTATATTTCTCAACATTCCTTCAGGATCACATTCTAAAATAGTAGCCAGTTCTGCTGCAATTTCTTCTTTCAAATTCTCCTGAACATTTTCCTTCAAGCCTCTTATTCTCAAAGCATACTCCATTTCTCTATATTGTGACATTATAATTTCATTCTGTGCAACATCCACATTATCTTCTATTTTTTCAACTCTGTCTTGTAATATTTCAACATTACCAACCACCTCATCCACACGGTCGTCAATCTTTTCTTATATATATATATGTAGGAAGTTTTTCAGACAGATGTCTAATTGATTACACCTTGACATTTTTTAACTGCTATACTGCAGTTTTACTTTTTTTTTACAATCTCTTTTGCCTTGCAGCCCCCAACTAGGGGCGTTAAGCAGGCTCAAGTTGCAACTGCGAAACATTACAAATCCAAATTTCTTTTTCTGACAAAGAATTAAAGAATTAAATTGGGAGACTAAGATGGCCATAAAGGGTGTGGCTAACTGAAGAGAGCAGAATGAGCTCGAAATGGCCATCTTAGTCTCCCAATTTAATTCTTTAATTCTTTGTCAGAAAAAGAAATTTGGATATATATATGTATATACACACACATACATATACATATATATGTAATCAATTTGCCTCTTTCCTGAGGGAATGGGATGGAAGTTCCCTTTTCCTTCTTCTCAGGGGGAGTGCTTTGGGCAGATTTTCAGGAAAAATCATAAAGAGAGGCTTAGGTCTCACCCAGTTTCATCCACGTTGCTGGAAGTTTGCTTGGTAGTGCTTGATGTGTTTCGTTGACAGCAGCTTCTGACTGGCTACGCGAATGTAGCCAGTCTTCCCCCCGCCAGTTTGGAGGGCTTCCTTGGATCAAACGAGAGGGCTGCCACACACCCCCCCCGTGATCAAACAAGGGTCCCCTCCTCACTTGTCACCTCTACGGGGTGGCTTTCGATTCTTTCCAGGGTCCCCCAGTGGAGGAAAATCAAATGCGGAATACGGAGCTTGTCTTCCTGCATCTGCCTCGCCACAGCACCATAACCAGAAGCCGATAATATGTTTCTGAGACAGACATTTGGTGCTTTGCTTGCTTAATACATGAGAATGTACCAGATAATGCACTGCCCCCCAATCACAGGAACCACACTTTCCTTGCTATTCGCCTGCGCCCTCAGCAATCAAAGAAGCTGCGCCTGCCTGCCATTGGCCTGTGCACCCATCCCACAATACAGCCCCTGCAATTGCCCACCGCACACTGCTGTTCACCTGCAACACCATGGCTTCTCCCTGCCACCCACCCAATTGGCTGGCAGCTAACTGTCCCATGCAGCCAAAAGCCCATGACAAAGGCTCTCAGTGAATGGGCTGGGCCAAAGGGCATGAGGCGGATGGTGCGGGCCCATTGGCCAGGGAGAATGAGCAGGGGCAGGCCAGTGAGGAAGAATGCTGGAGGCAAATGGGTGGAGGCAGGAGGCTCGAGAAGGAGGCATGGCCAAGGGTGGGAGCCTAAAGGTCCCATTTCACCATCAAAGCGGCCTCGTTCCTCTGAATGTCTTGGCTGACCACTTGGAAGTTGTAGATGTAATCTGTGAAGGACTGATGCCACTGTCATATCTCCTGCTATTTGCAGTCTGCACATTTACAGATTACATTTACAGTTCACATTTACAGCTGCAGACCCTATCAAGAGATTAATCAGGAAGGTCACTTTGTCCCAGTGCATGGCAAAGTCCTCCAGGCATGGGCTCATGTACAGCTGGCATTGCCCAAAGAAGGTGGGAATCAAAGTGCCATCAAACCTATCCGGCATCATCATAGGGTATTTAGCCTGCAATGGGGTGAGTTGTGAGGAAAAGAGTACCACTTTTGAGCTAGTTAAGCACTGTCAGCAAAGGGCTCCTCCATTTTGTCTGGCTACAACCAAAAGATGGGAGGGAGCGGAGTATTGGTTGGGAACAAACTGTTATCACCCAGGTTGAGTAAGCAGAAGCAAGCTTCAATAAAGTCCTTCACTGCTTTGCTATCAGACAAATGAGCCCAGAAGCTGGCCAATATATTCCTACAACACTTCTACCAATTGCATGGAGTGCCAAAATGGATCATCTCAGGCTGAGGGGCAAAATTTTGGCATGAATTTATAAGGCTTATAGATCCTCTCAAAGCCTCAGCTCAGCTTTTCATCCAAGTACAGACTGGGCCGCAAAACAAGCTAACGCCATGGTAGAAAAGTACCTGTATTGCTATGTCAACTATCAGCAATCTAATTGGACGGAACTCCTGCCATTTGCTGAAGTGGCATACAACAATACAGTACACAGTAACACAGGGCTCACCCCCTTTAAAGTAGCTATAGGAATGGAATTCATGCCCATGCCGGAATACCCAAGAGAATCCCCTTCCTCAGTAACCCTAAGTGAATGGATAGATTCCCTCCAAAAAAGCATGGGGAAATGTAAAAAAAGCTCTCATTAAAGCTACAGATAGTCAGAAAAAACAGGCAGATAAGAAGCGAACTAGGATTTCTGCCTATGAAATAAAATGTATCTATCTACAAAATATCTGAAGCTGAAGCTACTCTGCAGGAAGCTAGGTCCCAAATACATAGGACCATTTCCAATTGCGAAAGTCATTGAGCCAGTTACAATAGAGCTAAAGCCACCTAGAATATTAGGTAAAGTGCAACCTGTATTCCACTGTAGTTTACTAAAACCGGCCCAAGCATCTAGGCTAAGACCAGTAGGAAGAGATGCTCCGGGCCCAATAATAGTGGGAAGTGAAACGCATTATGAGATTAAAAGAATCTCATATGTTACTAGTGAAATGTGTGACTGAATCATCCAGAAGGCAACATCTTGGAGCTGCAAAGGCTTCCAGACTATTATTCATGAACATTTTTTTTATTTAAATAGTAATTCCTACTCAAAATATCAAGAGGGCTAGAAGAAAACAATTTTAAAATAAATTTAATCTTAAGATTTTAATTTAAAATTTTATTATAAAATATAAAATAAAATAAAATAAAAAATTAAAATCATAGAGTTTTTAAAATTTGTTTAATTTGTTTAATTCATGTATGTTTTACTCACATTGTTTTCCATTTTCAGCTGTTCAACCATATGCTTTAACTTTGAAACTTCATCCTCCAATGTGGAGGCCTGAGTGGATGATTCCTGTAACCTGAAACAAAAGACCACTAAAAAACCCACTATTTTCACAGAATTATATTTTGGGATGAGTCAGATTATTTAGAATTCTCAGGTCTTTGCTAAGGCATTGGAATAGGACAACTCGTTGTGGCCAACTTGCTGTGGCCCTCTCGCTATAGCCTGTTTCACATGGCCATCTTGCTGCAGTCAACTTGCCACAAGACAACTTGTTGTAGGACAATTCCACATGGGACAACTCAACATAATAAATGTTACCTGCCACTGCTTCTTTGACATTATTTCCATTGACAAAAATAGATAGACTTGAGCACTTTGCCCTATCCACAGCAGAATATGTGAGAGGGATCGAGGAGTCATAGTGGATAATCATTTATGTAGGAGCTAATAGTGTGCCTCAGCTGCTGAAAAAGGAAATGTGGTCCTAGGCTGCATCAACAGGGAGATTGTATCAAGATCACGTAAAGTACCGCTTGTAAGACTACACTTGGAATATTGTGTTCAGGTCTGGTCACCATAGTACAAAAATGTTGCTGGGACCCCAGAAACAGTGCACACAATAGCAACAAAAGTAAATAATAGTAACAAAAGGGGATTGGAGGCTAAACTGTATGATGAACAGTTACAGGAACTACCTGTAAGTATGTCTAGTCTAATGAAGAGGACTGGGGTGATATGACAGCAATCTTTCAATATTTGTTAGGGTTAGGGTAATATCAAGATCATGTGAAGTGATAGTACTGCTTTATATTGCACTAGTGTTCCAAACTGCATCCAGTTCTGGTCTCCACAATACAAAAAAGGGGACTGGATGCTAAACCACGGACATGGGTTTCATGGTTAACTTACTCAATACTGTATGGCATTATTAAGAGTTCCAAAATCAGGATATCTTAAAACCACAAGCTAGCAACTATCAAAGTAAGATATAAAGTTACTTTAATGTTATTTGTTTTGAGAAATTTGTGTTAGTTCACTTATATCTTCTCCCAAATAGTTAATAAACTGTTTGATTTTGTATTTACTTCCTTAGCTACTGATGAAGTTAGTAGATTATTATTCTTCCTCATTTTTTTGAAGAAAAAAACCATACATGCCTACATGCCTACTTCCAGTCTGCCAATATTTACCTTTTCTCAAAGAAAATGTCAGAATATTAAAGCTCAAACTTGGCTGTTTTAAGAAAATTTGACCTTGGTTATTCATCCTTCCTTCCAGTTCATGTCTTTTATTTATTGGAGTTTATTAGTAAGCTCTGGCTTCTAAAATGTCTCCCATTTTTTTGTAATTTAAAATGTGATAATGCCTATCAGTATTTTTTTTCAATCAGAGACTCCGTCTATTATTTTCTTAGTTTTTAAGACTTAATTTTTTGAGATCTTGAGGTTCTACAATGCATTCAAGGTAATGTAATCACGTCTAGCCCAGAATATCATTACTGTCACCTCATTAAAGTCCACTGCAGCAAACCCTAATATTAGCTGCTCTTTTTGATTTATCATCTACTTTCTGAAAGATAAAATTATCATTAAATCAAGTCAGAAATTGTTTGTCTGCTCTTGGCAGAACTTGAATTCCAACAGATAATATCCTAACTCAAATTTACTACAACTATACTTTTCTCCTATGAATCCTTACTAATCTGATTTAAGAAGGCATCATACAAGTCTTCTGACTTTTCATTCTGTAGCAAATTCTTTCAATTGTTTTTACTTCCTTCGAGTATGATGCAAATGAATCTTCATGTACAAATGTATTGATTTTGTTTACAAAGGTACATTTGCTTTTATATATAGTGTTACTCTTCCATTCCTTCCATTTTATCTACTCATTATGTATACTGTAATTACATTAATGTAATTAATTAAACTTTATTTGCCTTCTTACATTAGGAGTTCAAATTCATCCAGTTTATTTCTCACTTCCCCATTCTTCACACACTGATATAAAGACACTGCCATATTGCTACTAATAAGTAATAAAATTTTAGTACAACCATCCTACAACATGGATTTTGTTTTTGTTGACCCTATAGTTATAACACCTTAGCTATACAATCATGTAAAGATTTGAGACAAGTACTGTTCTTGCCAAACTTTAGTTGTTTATCAATAGCAAAATTCAATATGTTAAGTCAACAGCCTTACCTTAAGAGAAGGCACCTTATTTCTGCTCCGTTTGTTTCCTAAATAGGAAAAAAATACGAAAAAAATAAAATTACATTATGTTCCAAAGTATACCAAGTGATATAATAGATAATATTGTCATAATACCAGAATGGTCATAAAAAGTCCCACTCTTTGAGACACAGTTATTAAAATGAGAGACTAGAAAGACTATTTGAGAATTCTGACCTGAATATCTTTGTTTTTCTCTGCATCTCTCATTTGGCTTGATTCTAAAAGGGCTTCAACTGATTTAATCCTTTCTTCAAGCTGAAAGTTGATGCAAGTTTCATCTGATAATTTAAGGTGGAGATTATTACATTCTTCTACCTTTCTCTTCAGCTCTGTTTCAGAGCACAAGAGTTTAGACTGAAGTTCTGTTAAAGAATGAATAGTAAATGCTAGTAAAAACATGTATTTCAGTATTCTCATAGGGCAGTGGTGGCGAACCTATGGCACGGGTGCCAGAGGCGGCACTCATTGCCCCAGTCCTAGGCCTTCAGCTGGGTATTACAAAACTTTTTCGCTTTAGGCCTCCGCCACCGTGTGCAAAAAAAAAAAAAAAAGTTCAATCAGTCAATTTCAACTTCTTGCGGGAAAAAAAAGATCTTGCAAAGTTGGAATTGATTGATTGAACTTTAGTCCCACCCAGTCTGCTGTTACCATCACAGCCATGCCCACCCAATGGGTCATGCCCATCCAATTGGCCACACCCAGCCAATGGGCCATACCCACCCAGCACCCAACGATGCATAAATGGGTTTTGGGTTGCAGTTTGGGCACTCAGTCTCTAAAAGGTTTGCCATCACTGTCATAGGGCTTTAAAATGATCAAATCCAATCTCCTGCTCAGTGAGAGTCCATATAAAAGCATCTACAAGTGATAGCTGATCAGCATCTGCTGGAATTTATCTATGAAAAGGGAATATACACTTCAATTTCATTTTTTTCAATTTTTTATAATTTTTTAAAAATTTTAAATCTTTTTTATTTTAAAATGCTTTTTTCAATTTTTTTATAAAATCCTTTTTTCATTTTTTTCAATTTTTCATTTTTTTATTTTAACTAAACATTTAAAAAAACAATTTACTTATTGTAATTCTTTAGAAATTTTTAAATTCTTAATGATCTAAGGGGGGAGAAACCACAGAAAAAGAGACAGACACCTAAACAGGGATGTTACTGATTAATTTTTCAAGACAGAGAACAAAAGGTCAAGAACTTTTGTAGACTATTGTAAACTGACATTTTGCAATGCAGAGAATATTTAAATTTTTAGAAGATTTTAATTTTTTAGCAAACAAAGAAAAATGTCATAGAGATAGAGACTGACATCATAGTGACTTGCAAAGTGTGCCATATGTTTCAGATTATGCCCACAGAAGACTCAAACTATGTATGTATCAAATGTAAACTACTTGAATTACTAGAAGAAAAAGGGTTTAGAGGCAACTCTAGCCACTCTGAAACTGAATGAGCAAAGCAAGAGATCCCAACCTAAACAACAAGACTACACCAAAATAAAACACAATAGGGAGCAACCAGCTTCTAAAAAAAATGATGACTCCATATATGAACCTAAAGAAGAAAACCGATACACCCAAATTGAACAGAATAGGGAACAAGCTTCCTTTAAAAAAAAACAAGCCTAAATATGTACCTAAAGAGCAAGACTGATGGAAACATGTCACTCTTAGAAGAAAACAACCAAGAGCAAAGCCATTACTATCTTCCCTAGTTCATTCCAATGAAGCCCTCTGGAACTGAACAATCACTTTCATAGCCTCCACCTGGAAGAAAATATACAGAAACTCACAAAAGAGCACTCATCAGTAGTTTCTTAAAAAGAGGCACAACCCAGCATTCTGTGACAGGAAGAAAAGTATTCCAGACTTCCCTAGGGAAAAAAGAGAATATTAGTGATAGGAGATTCAATTCTTAGGGGAACAGAAACTATAGTCTATAGACCAGGCAGTCAATCTAGAGAGGTATATAGTCTCCCTGGAGCAAAAATCAAAGATGTAACTGAGTACCTTAATAAAACAATCAACCACACGGATTACTATCCCTTTCTTCTCCTACACGCGAGGACCAATGACACAACAATGAATCTGAAAACAATAACAAGAGATTATGAATAGCTAGGGAAGAAAGTTAAAGAATTAGGAGCACAAGTGGTGTTTTCATCTATACTTCCATCAAAAGGCCAACATCCAATGAGGGACCAAAGGAGTTTAGAAACAAACCACTGGCTTAAAAACTAGTGTCATCAACAGAACATCGGCTTCCTAGACCATGGTCTGCATTACCTAGATGAAGGGTTACTGGCAAGGGATGGACTGTACCTCAAAGAACTGGAAAGGATATATTTGGGAAATGACTGGCTCATCTTATCAAAAAGGCTTTAAATTAAAATTGAGGGGGAAGGGGGCCAATTGTCATGATACACAGAACCAAATTCCAAGCAAAAACCACTAGATAATCAATCACATAAGGAGGAAGGGAGTAAAGAGAAAAAAAGAAATTAAAAAAGAAAAACATAATGAAATAGAGAGTGATGGAAAGGATGGAAATCCCTGTGCTAAAGTAGGAGATACAAGAAATATACCCAAGACCTGCCTATATACTAACTATACTATATACCAGACATGTCAAACACAAGGCCCGCGGGCCAAAAACAGCCCGCCATATCATTGGATATGGCCCGGACACCTGTCCTGGAATTGACATCCGGCCCCCACCACCTTGGTGCTGGCCCAAGTGAGCATTTGCCCTGGGCACATGCATAGGAGGAGGCAAGCGCATGTGGGCTGGTAGAACCCAGCAACAGCTGCAGCTCATTGGCCCCTTGACTGCTCATTGGCCTGCAGCAACAGCCAGGGACGGGCAATAAGCTGTGCTTGGCCCCTGCAGTGCATTCTCGCACCTCAGGGCCCAGCAGCCAGGCTACTCCACCCCTCAGCAGCAGTGTCAACGGTGCTAATATTGAATATTCTTGCTTTGATAATATATGCAGAACTGTCTGGTATTTTTAGAGTTAAATCAGGTGACAGTGAAAGGGAATATAAGGAAAGCCCAGGAAAAAGAAATGGAAGTGAATCTTTGCCCTCCAAGTTAATTGGAAGATATGAATCATGAACCCAAAATAGGGGAGGGAAAATGCCTGGAATGTTATGTGCAAAGGAAGGGAAATTCAGATCTTAGCATTTCCACCATGCCATGCTGACATCTCTGTAACACTAATAAAGGCTTTTTAGGTTTAAAAAATGCCCGAAGGTTCTTTGAAGTGTTTCATTAATCAGACATATGACATCATGCTAAGATCTCAAATCCTTTTCAAACGACCTGGGGTTCTGAACTCTGTCCACTGCCTCTAAGCTTGAGAGGAGTTGATAAAGATTCAGGGGAAAAAAATCTATCATGAGAAAAGGGAGTTTACTTGAAGACAGGATGCTGTGGGAAGATGAATTTTGGCAGACAAATACAAATCAGTGGAACAGCAGCCAGCCAGCCGAGGGGGAAAGAATTTGGCAGATCGCCCAGCCAAGAGCAAAGACTTCAAAAGCAGAATGCAGAGATAACAAAGTTTTGGGTGAGTCGCTAGAAAGATTTCAAAACCCAGAAGTGAAAAGCAGAACTCAATTCCTGAAGAGAGGTGCCTATACCACTCCCATGGCCCAGCAGAAGAATGATCAGCAGCAGCTGAGCATACCACAGCTAATAGAGGCCTTGCAGCAGCTTGGGGTGGTGCAAAAGCCAGGAGAATGACAGCCGGTGGGCCTGCAGATGAGGAAGGCCCAGCAACAAACCCCACTCGTCCATCAGCCATTGAGAGGCCTACAGCAGTATGGGGCACCACCAGCCCCCGCTGGCCAGCAGCAGAGAGCTCAGCAGCCAGTGGATCAGCAAGCAGGATGGGACCAACAGCCCCAGTGGGGGCCGCAACAGCCTGTATTGGCACCACCTTTCAGAGCAACCTTCAATGGGGACCTAGAAAAGCTGATTTTTTTTCTGAACCAAGTGCGTTCTCACTTGAATCGCTGGGCCTATCTCTACCCGGAACCAGGTGCCGTGGTAGATGTCATTGCGTCCAACCTAGAGGGAGAAGCATCTGAATGGCTGAACAATCTATATAGTGAGCAAGCCCCCAAACTGGGAGATCCCCACCTTTTCCTCCTAGGACTGAGAGAAAGATTTGAGGACCCATCCATAGGCCTCAAAGCAGCAGAACAAATCCACAAAATAAAACAAGCTGGCAGGCCTGCCCTGGAGTACGTGAGAGAGTTCCGCAAGATAGCAGGCCAAATAGAGGGGTGGCCTGAACAATCCCTGATTCAATACTTTGTCGAGGGATTAGACGATCACCTCTCTCAGGCCTGCATCTATCGAGAAGTACCTGATCGGCTACAGGAGTGGTACCAGACAGCAGTGAAGCTAGATGTTAAACTCTCTCGCTATAAGAAGCCTCCCCCACCCGAACCTGAGCAGCAACCAGAGCTACCTGGACAACAATCACCCCCACAAAAGCCTTTGACTACTGCAATGGCTGAGAGACCTAGGCCACCTACATGCCCTTCCTTTAAGTGTCTCTGGTGTGGACAAGAATGACATCGAGCGGCCACCTGTCCAGTCCCCTACCCTTGACTGCAGAGCAGACCAGAACCAGCAATGCAAAAGAAACCTGCTCAGCGGCTAATGAGAGAAAAATCCAACCGGATCACGAAGGAACCTGTCGCCCAGATTACACCCCCCACACAGGAGGATGCCGGGACTCTGGGTGGACCTGCCCTTGCTCTATCCTCCTTTGACAGCGATGATGAAGGAGAGAACGACCCGATTGTGAGTCGACAAATCCCGCCTTTTTCACTGGTCGCCAAATTTATAATCCCTAAGTCTGGGGCACAAATGGACTTAAAACATGTTAATTGATTCTGGATGTACCCGCTGCATTATTAGTCTGCCATTTGCCATGAAAATGGGCATACAGGCAAAACAGCTTTCCAAACCGATGAGGTTTGAGCAAGCTGATGGCTCCCTGATGGGAGGGACTCTTATCACACAATTAACCGAGCCCTTACACCTAGAAATAGGTGCACATTGGGAGTTCATTCGCTTCCTGGTGGCACCAAAAATGACTGAGGCGGTGATCCTAGGGCTAGCCTGGTTAGACAAATGGAAGCCGTTTATCTGATGGGAGAAAGGAATGAGAACTGTGAAACTACCTATAGGGCTTAATCCCACAGTTGATTCAACAGATGTTGCTGGGCATCTTAGGCCACCCAATGAGCGAGTGCACATGGCCGCCTCACTGCCTCCAGGTGAACCAGTCCAATTATATTTCATCTCTAGTTATCGACTATGGAAAACCCCATTTCTGC